GAGGACGAGGCCGACGCCGACAAGCCGCAGTCGAAGGGCCTGCCGGGCTTGACGTCGCTCTTCCACCCTGGCCAGTGGGTCGTCGCCATCGTCGTCGCGAGCAAGGCGGGCGACTCGAAGGCCAAGCTCGGCGGGCGCGAGGGCGACGAGGTGGTCCGCTCGTCGCGCCGCGTCGAGCTGTCGCTCGAGCCGGAAAAGGTCAACGAGGGCATTGCCAAGGGCGACCTCAAGCGCGGCTTCATCCTCCCCGCGACGATCCACGACCTCGAGGACACGGGCTACTCGCTCTCGTTCGGCCTCCCGCCCCTGTCGTCCTTCCTCCCCTTTGCCGACGCCAAGAAGCTCTCGCCGACCAAGCCGCTCCACGTCGGCCAGGTCGTGCTGTGCCGCATCACCAAGGTGCACGACAACGAGCGCGTCTTGTCCGTCACGGTCGAGCACGCCGACCTCGCCGGGACGACGCTCGATAACGTGTCGTCCATCACGTCCATCCTCCCCCTGCAGCTCGTCACCTGCCTCGTGACGGCCGTGCTCCCCTCTGGCCTCAACGTCAAGTTCCACGGCTACTTTGACGGCACGATCGACCGGTTCCACCTCCCCGTCTCGGCGGGCGACGACCTCGCCGACCACTACAAACAGGGGCAGAAGGTCAAGGCCCGCGTCCTGTGGGACTCGATCGCGTCGACGCCGAAGAAGTTTGCCCTGTCGATGGCACCTCACGTCGCGAGGCTCGACGACAAGGCGGCCAAGGCGACCGAGACGCGCTTCCCCGTCGGCGCAAAGTGCAAGCGCGTCAAGGTGCTGGCCATGGACGACGAGTGGGGCCTGACGTGCGAGATTCAGGACGGAGACGAGGCGGTCCCGGCGTTTGTGCACGTGCGTCCTTTTCCTCTCTCTCTGCCTCTGCCGAAGCCCATGAGTTGACAGCCTCGCCCGGTCCCCCGCTGCAGATTTCGCGCATCACCGACGACCACCTCAACACGATCCCCAAGTCGGGTCCCTGGAAGGTCGGCTCGGTGCACCCTGCGCGCGTCATCGGCTTCTCGGCACTCGACAACCTCGTGCAGTTGTCTCTGCAGCCGTCGGTCCTCGAGCAGGCCTTCCTCCGTGTGCAAGACGTCGAGGTCGGCGCAGAGGTCAAGGGCACGGTCAAGGTGCTCAAGGAGAACGCGCTGTTTGTGTCGATCGGCGGCAACGTCGACGGCGTCGTGTGGCCCCTCCACTACGCCGACATCCGCCTCAAGCACCCAGAGAAGAAGTTTAAGCCCGGGCAAGCCGTCAAGGCGCGCATCTACTCGGCCGACGCCGACAAGAACCGCGTCGTCCTCACGCTCAAGAAGCAGCTCGTCAACTCGGACCTGCCCATCGTCGCGCGCCACGCCGACGCCAAGCCAGGTGTCGTCACCCACGCGACCGTGACCAAGGTCCTCGAGAAGAGCGTCCTTGTCGACTTCTTTGGCGGCCTGCGCGCCCTCATCCCTGCCGCCGAGGCCGCAGAGGCCTTCACCGAGGCGTCCGACCTCGCCCGCCTCTTCCCCCTCGGCAAGGTCGTCGCCGTCCGCATCCTCTCGGTCGACCCCTCGACGTCGCGCATCGTGGCTTCCGCTCGCCAGGCCTCTGCGCCCTCCGTCGCGGCCGCCGCATCCGGCACGGCGGCGCTCGAGGCCCTCGACATCGGCACCGTGACGAGCGCGACCGTCCAGCAGCTGCACGACACGAACCTCGTGCTGTCTCTCGTCCCCTCGGGCGTCAAGGCCCTTCTGTCCTACCCGACGCTCGCGCGCCACCGCGGCGTGCAGGTCCCCGAGCTCAAGGCGAGTCTCGCAAAAGGCCAGACGCTCGAGGACCTCGTCGTCGTGTCCAAGAACATCGACAAGGGCTTCGTCATCGTCGGCCTGCTCCCCTCGAAGTCGGCATCTTCCTCCGCTGCCGCGTCGACCTCGACCTCCTCCTCCTCTGCCCCTCTCACGCTCGACTCGCTCAAGGTCGGCGCCCTCTACCCCGGACGCATCGCCTCTCGCCTCCCCAGTGGTGTCGTCCTCGTCCAGCTCGCTTCGGCCGGTCGCCACGCCCCGCGCGGTCGCGTCGCCCTCACCGAGCTCGCCGACTCATACGCCGACGACCTCGCGTCGGCCTTCCCCGTCGGCACCACGGTCGACGCCGTCGTCCTCGCCGTCGACAGCGAGCAGAACCGGCTCGACCTGTCCCTCCGCGCGTCGCGCGTCGCGCAGGCCAAGGGCGACGGCGAGGCTCAGGTGCCCGAGGTGCAGGACCGCGTGATCGAGAGTGTCGAGCAGCTCAAGGCGGGTGACAAAATCCGCGGGTTCGTCAAGAACGTGGCGAACGCCGGTTTGTTCGTCACGCTCGGTGGAGAGGTCACGGCGCGTGTGCAGATCAAGGTGCGCCCTCTCACTCTCGGTCGAGCCGGGCACGCGCTTCGACGGTGACTGACCCACGGCTTGGTTTGGCCGAGCAGGAGCTGTTTGACGAGTACGTCAAGGACTGGAAGCCGCGCTTCAAGGTTGGCCAGCTCGTCGAGGGCAAGATCCTCTCGTGTGTCCCTTCTCCTGCGCTTGGTTCCCGTCCCGCACCCATCTGACCTGACCAACTGTGTCGTCCTTGCAGCGTCGACAAGGTCACCTCGCAGGTCGAGCTCTCCCTCCGCAAGGGGGGCGTCGTCAAGAAAGACGCGCAGCCCGACCTCCCCTCCCTGGCCGAGGCCAACCTCTCGGTAGGCCAGGTCGTCCGCGGCGTCGTCAAGCGCGTCGAGGACTTTGGCGCCTTCATCCGCCTCGATGGGCTCAACGTCCAGGGCCTGTGCCACAAGAGCAAGGTGACGGACGAGGACAAGGGCAGCTGGAAGGAGCACGTCCGGTCGGGCGACAAGGTCCGCGCCGTCGTGCTCGCTGTCGACCTCGAGGCCAAGAAGGTGTCGCTCGGGCTCAAGAAGAGCTTGTTCCCCGAAGGCGAGGTGTCGGACGAGGAGGACGAGGAGGAAGAGGAGGAGGGCGAGGGTTCGGATGACGAGGAGGAGATCGTCGACGGCATGAGCGAGGACGACGAGGAGGACGATGATGACGAGGAGGGCGACGACCTCGACATGGCGGCTTTGCTGAACGGCGCGGGCGCTGGCTCGGACGACGACGAGGGGTCCGATGAGGACGAGGACGACGAGATGGCCGACGAGCCCGAGGTGCGTCGTCTGCGTCGGTAGCGAGCCTGCGCACCCCTCTGCATTGCTCACGCGCACGTCCCTTCCTCGACCGCAGGTCCCGGTCGCATCGACGAGCAAGCTCGTCGCCTCGACCAAGGCAGCACCCGCCCTCGCCGTCTCGTCGGGCTTCAACTGGGGCGGCGACGACGAGGACGAGCCGATGAAGGCCGCAGCGGGGGAGGGCGAAGAGAGCGACGACGACGATGACGATGACGACGACGAGCCCGCGGCGCTCAAGCAGTCGGCAACCGCAGCGGGCAAGAAGGCGGTGACGGGCCTGTCGACGCTCGACGACCGGACAGGCGACCTCGACACGCAGGCGCCGACGTCGGTTGCCGACTTTGAGCGCCTCCTCCTCGGCTCGCCCAATTCGTCGTACCTGTGGATCCAGTACATCGCCTTCTTCGTTGGCCTGTCGCAGCTCGAGAAGGCGCGCGAGATTGGCCGCCGCGCGCTCAAGTCGATCCACTTCCGCGAGGAGCAGGAGAAGCTCAACGTCTGGGTCGCGCTTCTCAACCTTGAGAACTCGTACGGCGACGAGACGACCGTCGACGAGCGCTTCAAGGAGGCGAGCCAGTACAACGACGCCAAGACGGTGCACCTGCGCATGGTCGACATTTACGAGCGCACGGGCAAGTACGAGGCTGAGGAGGAGCTCTTCAAGAAGACGGTCAAGAAGTTCTCGCAGAGCTCCAAGGTGTGGACGCTCTTTGCGCAGTACTACCTGACGCACGGCCGCCCCGCCGAGGCGCGAGAGCTCCTCCCGCGGAGTCTCAAGAGCCTCGAGAAGCGCAAGCGTGCGTGCTTTCTTCTGTTCCTCGCTTCCTTGACATCCTGCCTCTGCTTCGGAGCGGAGCTGACGTCCTCCTGTCGACCTCACGCGTGCACAGACGTCAAGACGATCGTCAAGTTTGCGCAGCTCGAGTTCAAGCTGGGTGACGCCGAGCGCGGCCGCACCATCTTTGAGGGCATCATGGACTCGTACCCCAAGCGCCTTGACCTGTGGTTTGTCTACGTCGACATGGAGACCAAGCAGCGCAACATCGCCGGTGTGCGCGCCCTCTTTGACCGCATCCTCGCGCAGCGCCTCTCGAGCAGTGCGTCCTTTCCTCCTCCTCCCTTGTCGCTCGCTCAGTGAGGGAACAGGCTGACCCCTCTCTCCCGCTTACAGAGAAGGGCAAGTCGGTTTTCAAGAAGTGGCTCACCTTTGAGAAGGAGCACGGCGATGACGCCGGTGTCGAGGAGGTCAAGCAGCGCGCGGTGGCGTTTGTGCAGGGCCGGTCGCAGCCGGAGGGCGGGGATGAGGATGACGAGGAGTAGGCAGTGTCGCAGCATTGCTTGTAACGCTACACCGCAGCAGACCGTGATGTTGCAGCAGAGTTGAGACGAAGCGCTGATAGTAGGAAGAGGAGGACTTGTGCGGCAGGGCACTCAGAGGAGGGTGTCTACCGTGGCAGCCTCTTGCGCCTCTTGAGAGGGGATGGGTAGTCTTGCGGTAGGTATGAATCAGCAGAAAGCTCCTTGTGAAGAGCAGAGAGTGGAGACGAGGTGATATTCTCGCTATGGACCAAGCCAGCGGCCAGGCCTTGCTGATTACCCCCTGGGTAAGCCTGGCGGAGCAAAGCTATGCAGGGCTGCCGTATTACCACTTGTGACAGTTGAGCCACTGCTGGCCGTCTCTTCAGCTGGCTTTCACAGCCTCACCACTTCAGCCCGGACGGAGCTCTTGCTCAGCCTGCCTGGGCATTGCTGCAGTGTTTTGCCAGGACGAGCAAAAAAAGGGGGTCGACCACGGTGGGGGTCGAACCCACGACTTCCGGTTGTACAGGCGTTGCCTGCTCGACGAGCAAGCAACGCACTTTTATCGAAGACCGGCACCTTAACCACTTGGTCACGCAGCCATGTGGTCGAGCACTTCTCAGATGTGCCCTTACCTTTGATTTTGCTCAATGAAAAGGGACCGGAGGCCGTTGATGGGCTGGCAGCACGTCTTGGGTTTGTAGCTCCCCTTTCCAGTGACTGCAGAGCACAGCAGACAGGCAAGCTCTGGGATATCAAAGTCAAGGCGCAGATGGTCAACGGTGTAGTTGCTGGGGACAGCGGTCAAGCACGAGGGCCAAGGCCGGCCTACAGTAAGGGCGAGCGGAGGGGCGCGGGTGTCTCGCTCGCACTTCGCGTCGAGCGTCAAGTCGAATGTCGTCAAAGGCTTTCGAGTCGAGTAGGGCGGGGGGGGAGGCCGGAGGCGCGCAGCGAGAGGTGGGTCACTCGATTCGACACCGACACCTTCTCGCCGCCGCTCCCGGACCTCGCCA